GTGAAGGAAGGTACCATAGAAAACCCTTTTTTCTTAATTTATAAATAAATTCTTTTTTATTATACAATTCAAATAATATAAAAAAAATTATTGGATGATTAATAATCCTTAATATTAATATAAAAGGATTCATTTCATTGCAATAGTTTAAGTTTTATATTTTTTTTGCAAATAATCAATCCAAAATTTAAAATATTATGAATTCTATTTTTTACTGGTCTTTATTTAAATTTGGACTTAAAATATAAAAATGATGGGTGAGAGTTAAGAAATGAATTGATTTGCTTATTAAAAGAAAGAATGAAAAGAAATGAATTGATTTGGGAGGGCATCCATATGAAGCAAAATAATTGGAGAGCAAAAACACAGAGGAGGCAGCACTGAGGCAGCGGAGATGGTGTGCGGAGGATGCGGGCTTGCCCACATGGGCTATTTCTATTCGGACAGCAATAATTAGGCCTGGCAAATCCAATTATATAAAACGAGAAGCAATCAGTAAAATTGGGTTGCGTGGCAAAGCAAATGCGCATTTAATGCTCCAACAGTCACCGCGATAACATAACCATTGCCAGACTACTACCACCACCACCGCCGTCTCCACCTCATACTGAAGTTACGAACCAACTATTGCAAAAGCGTTCTTTTAGCTATAATTTGACAGTTTAAGTGAAAAAAATTTAATTTTTTTTTAAATAAAATATTAAATTTGACTCTTATAAATAAAAAAAATAAGTATTGATAGAGTTTTTTTTTTAATAAAATTTGACACAATTTAATTCTGAATTAATCAAAATATAATATAATTATTTAATACCAAAAAACTAATACTAAGAAAAAAAAAACGTTCTGTTACCATATCACGTGCCCCAACTTCACCACCGCCATTGTCATTCACATGTAGACTGTCACGTTATTATGTTTCCTGAATTTAATTGTCCTTTGTCAGAGTTGCTTTTGCATATGTGTTTATGGTTACGTTCATATCTAATTTTATTAATATTATATAATTTAAACATGTGGATTTTTGAATTTAATGTAGTTACATCACGTATAAATATATATATTTTTTAAAATAATGGTTTGAATTTGATTTTTTATAAATTTGTTTAAAAAATATATTATATAATTTAATTATTATTTTATTAATTTTTAAAAATTAATTTTTTATTTATTAATTATTTTTAATAATTAAATTGAGTTAAAAATTTGACTATGTATATGAGCATAACAATTTTAAGAGGGGGCAACGACCACAGCGGGTTTTAGACCTCTCCTCGTTTTTGTTTCTGCATTTCTTTAGAAGAACCCTCAAGAAACTGTGATGTAATTGCTTACTACTCTTTTTGTTAGGTTAAAGAAAAAATGATCTTTAAAAAAGAAAAAGAGAAAGAGAAAGAAAAATCGATACCTATCAAACACCTAATTCTCTATCAAATGGATTATCAAATGGCTATATATCCATCTTCTTCTACGTCATACTTTAGATATCACAAAAACTCAATATTTAAAACACAAAATGCCAAAAAACAAACTTTTTATTTGATTTAAAAAAAGAAAAGAAAAGGAAAGGAAAGAATCCTTTTTTATTTTAATTTGCTTCCCTCCTCCCACATTCCTTTTTTTTTTTATTATTATTATTATTATGCTAAAAATATTTAGAAAATTAAAGGAAACCTCCTCTGTTCATCTCTCAACCCTTTAATTTTTGTTATCAAACAACTTCCGTCCCCTCCAAAAACAAATTAACTAGGCTGGCGGACCGAGAATGTGTAATTGCATGGTTATTACCCGTATGTTACGCCTTAAATTTTGATTTCATTTTATTAAAAATAACCCTAATTTCAGAATTTAAAAATAATATCTAGGACAGTGACATGTCCATGACGTGTGCAATGCATAAGCGCACGTGTAACCTCACATGGATTCAATCCAACCAGCATAAACCCAATGACAGTACCATTTTCAGGTTTAATGTTATTATCACATTTTCATTTATTAATATTATAATTTATTAAAATTATATATTTTATAATTTAAATTATAAAATATTAATCATTTTGAAAAAAAAAATTATGATATTGAAAATTTTTTTTAATTAAATAATTTTTATTTTATAATTCAAAACAATTCAAATTATAAAACTAAAAACTCTTATATTATTTATTTTAATTTTTTATACTTTGTAATTTATTTAAAATACAAAAATATAAAACTTCAAAAAAAAAATAGTATAAAAACATAATAATTAATTATATTGAAAATATCTAATATTAACTGCTAAAAATATAGCAATAACTCCACCCCATTAACACCGTCCACCGCAGAGCATGAAAGAAAAATTCTGGCTGTCTGACAGTCAGAGTGTCGGACTGTCAGAAAGCGCTATGGGCCATAGTGCAGGCCCACTAAATAAAATAAATAAATAAAGAGAGTAACTCATACAAAAGCACAATTAATTTTACTCGATGCAAACAAGTCCAAAACCAATGGGCACAGGGATAATGTTCATTTATAATTGGTTCAAAAAGAATGGAAGGATGGCTGGATGCTCAGGTTTGTACGACATATCTTGCCTAATGCACCCTAAATTCAAACAAATTGACTCGGTTTTGTACCGGTTTGGCTGTATAATAAATGCTGTACATTATGCAAATGCTGTGTATGAGGATACAAAATCAGCACCTGCCTGTCAGACTGCCTGAAGAATTTGATTCTTTTCCTTTTCTTTGGCCTTTGGTGGAGACGTCATTACCTTAACCCGAAAAGCGGCCTGCATGATGATTGGAAACTCATAAAGGAGATAAATCCAGCAATCTCTCTAAACCATTAACATACTTTGGTCACTGAATGTAAGAGTATTATAGTTGAGAAAAACTAGTAACATATTTGTTTCTTTGCAATTATTTACGTGATTTCAGTTTTTAGAATAATGCTCTCTTATGCGTTGTTAAGGAATCTCGTATGGAAATGTTATCTAAGTACCTTCTTATCAGAACCGAACTCAATAATATCTGATGGACGAAATCGAGTAGAAGAGTTTGGAGGTACCCTATACCTCCTCCCCTCATTGCTGCACAAATTAAGAAAATAAATTTTCAGAAAATCTATTTAAAACTGAAAATAGTGACATTTAACACTAAAAAATGTTTCCTGCTGCAAAAAAACTTACTCAATGATATAGGTCCCATATTCGCTCCGCAAATCAGTGATGAAGAATGCACCATCTTTGTAGCTGATACGAGCATGCATTTTGGATATCTAAATGTCAAAATTGAAAATAAATAAATAAAAATTATGTTTGTTCTGAATAATAGGGTTATGTTTGCAAAGAGAAGCAAAAACAGTTTGGCGAATCACCTGACTTGAACATAGGGTTATTGATGTTTCTGGGGAGTTCTCTTGCTTTTCACTCCTGCAATCATCATTGTTGATCAAATAAAAATTAGAATAACCGATGAAGTGAACTAGTGAAATGAAATTGATTATGCGAGGGATATGCTGTTGCTAGAAATCTCCCTCTCTTCCATTGCCCCCACCACAACACCATATATATGATTGCTCAAGTATCACGGACAAACACAGAATAGGCATGCTTTCATGCATGCATAAATTGTAAGACAACTTCAGGCTAAAGGCAAATGAATACCCAATTATGAAGTCTTTGCCGTCATCCCTGCTTAAATGAATAGGTTCAGAAGCAATTGCCTCATTTCCAAACGGCAACAAAAACCACCTGAAAAACAAGCAAGAAATACGAGTCCTAGTGCCTGTAGCATTCATGCATTTACTAGAAAATATGAGAAAAATAAAATTTGAAAAAAAAAAGAAGAAGAATATATCACACGCACTCTCCATTAATAGCTCGCTCTAACGCATCATCGTCTTCAAACCATCTTCGCAACTGATCATTTGCCTGAAGAAATTACTCATCAGATTTAGAACGAAGAGTAAAATGCAAATTTACAAACTATGAAGTCAGTGAGCTATATCAATAAATACAGGATCCATAGCATGAAAACATCATACCTTGTCTGAGAGTCTGCAACTCATGGACCTTCCTTCGAGTTTAGAGCTGTGAAAGAAATTCACGATATTCCAATTTATAATAATGAAGGCATAAAGCATGCATTAAGAGAAAAAAAAATTCTGAGGGGCAGAGGTATGGGGGAGGAATCTTGTCAAATTACAGAAGATTCAGAGTGAAGGTTTTATAATATTGCAAACCTTGATAGACATGTTCAGGATCTAACCTGTTACCACCTAAGACCCAACTGAGCATTAAGGGCATTGCTATGTCTATAAAAGGTCTTCCACCAACTCTTCCTGGATGCGGTATCCGAAATTTTGTCAAAAACTGCAAAGCAGGTAAAAAACAATGGGGATTATGAATGTAGTTGCTGAAGAAATATCAAAATATCATCATACTTCTATTTTGTGATCAACAATAGTTCCTACCGACAATGGACCAAGCCCTACACCCAAATAAGCCTTGTAAGTTGAAGCCATCATTGCAGCCATTCTTGCCATTCCATGGATAATTGCAACTCGCACTATCCTAGAGTTCTCATAGCTGTGTAAGAAATGAATTACCAAAGAAAAATCAGTTTTTCAACTACTAAAAAAAAGTCTGCCTCTGATACTATAGCAATTTGGTAGCATTCAATATAAAGAACATTCCCCAGAAAATGTTTCAGATCAAATATAGGTTATTAGGTTGCATTGATTAAATCAATCTAATTCCAGATTTCATAACTAGCTTTACTTCAATCATTTGGTCTGGGTTGACACCACAAGTGTTTTCTTAACATATTTTTTAGACCATATTTTTCCAGGTGAGCATGCAATTTTCACCATGATTTGATTTTTTTTATGGATTGTTTTAGAAAGCAAGTACCATATACCTCCTTAAAGAAGAGGCAATATCAACAGGAGTCCCTGACTTGACACTTTGACTCCATGCTTTGTCCAGCTCCACTGCAAGTTGATAACTATCCTGCGGAGATGTAATAAATGGTTCAGAAAGGTTCTTAGTGCATTTGTGATGCATTATTCAGACACTCACGAGTATTTTTGAAACAAAATGATGTGCAAGGCATTCTTCATTACAATATCGAAGATTCTAATAATATCTAAATGTCTCAAAGGAATACAGCATAAAAACTTTTAAGGAAAGTATTATGTCCAGAGAGATCTTGGGCAATGCTTAAATTATGGAGAAGAAAATCAATCAAGAGTAAAACAAGTCTACCTCAATGGCCATGCATCCTCCTTGACCCATATTTGGCTGCATGGCATGTACAGAGTCCCCAAGCAAGGTTACACGCCCCCTCCCCCAAGTGAATGTGGGTGTTCGGTCATATATGTCACGTCGAAGAATTGCATCTTCATCAGTAGCAAGTATCAAATCTACCACATTATCACACCAACCTTCAAATATTTTAAGCAACCTTTCCTTTTTCCCTGCAGAAAGATGGAAGGCAGAAGTGAGGAAGATTAGAACATGTCAAACTTTGTTCATGATCAACATTCAAATCCTTGGGCACATATTCTATCTGCAGTCTGTTTAGCCTTCTTGAAAGGACAACATCACAGGAATGCCAACATACAATAGTGAAACTAGGAAACCGTGTGGTGTATGACTACACATTTAAAATCATGATACCTTATTTTCTTCTAGCTTCTACAAGTGCAGCTCCTTAATGTTATATGGTAAATAAGTAGCTAAGATCGAGACCCAGGATTCATTGTTATAGCCTTATAGGCACCACATCCCCAATTCTAGGATGTTATGCAAGCATATTCATTTAATCTCTTTGCATTCTATACATCTTCATTAATGGATTAGAATTGAGAAGATGAGATAATCTTTCCCATATTTTCAAAAGAAATTTTAGTTTCTCTGAATTTGTATACTTTATTTAAGCTCTGAGAACACCAACATAATTTCTGGAAAGCCTTTTCCTTTGTTCCCTTCCAGAACTTTACTAATAGCATTATCATATTAAATCTAGATCATCTGAAGAGTATCTACCATTGGGGCTGTCAACACCACCAGGTGACTCCTCATGAAAAGCATACCACTGCATTTTTCCAGCACCGACATCTGAGGAGACAAAGTACTGCTTGTGTCCCAGAAATACACGGTACCTTCAGAAGAGGATTACAATATAAGAATGTATGTAGAGTGAAGCCCAAGGATTCTGAGCAGATATCCTAAGGCATGAAAAAGTTGTCAGAGGTGGAAGACTTAATATGCAATGAGAAAAATGGAACATACCCAACAGACTCAATGTCAGGAGGCACAAAATCTGCAATACCAGTGTAACAAGTGTACCCCGAGTAAACAGCTTCTTTTGGCCCAAATAAGCCCTTCCTCACCTGAAAAATAATGTAGCAAATTACAACTAGAGTATTGACTAAACGAACAAAGCAATCAGAATTGTTATTGTTGGAATTAAGTCGAATTTGATTGTGATTTAGTTAAATTAGAGCCAGGACAAAGATCAGGGAATCTAAATGGAACTTAAGTTTCCGCCACATGCATGAACCAGAAAAGGGAGTACCTTAGACCATATTCCATCAGCTCCAACTAGAAGATCACCTTCATATTGTTGTCCATTTTCAAGCATCACAGTAACCTGAACTTTTAAATCACAGGTAAAAATGAACAAATATCAACATAAATTAGAGAAAACAAAAATATATCCAGGAAACTACTTCTCTAGGTGCAAAAATAACAGACTAGAGGTATATTTCACGTATTTTCAAAATGATCATTAGGAGAGATGACATGTCACCTATCAGAGCCTGTGTTACCTTATCTCCATGATCCTCAAAGTCAACAACCTGGCTCTCATTCAAAATTACATCTTCACCAACTGCACGAGCTAAGATTTGTTGCAAGGTCATTCTACTAATAACTCTAGTAACTGGAAGTCCCCTTTCTACTGCAGGGGTGAATGTATCAAACTTGACGTACCTGTGAACAAAAAGCCAGATTTCGTTAATGCAATACAGACCCCAAAAAAAAAAAAAAGAAAGTAGTGATACTGTCACAAATTCTGTCAATAACAGGGATTTCTTACTTCTATGACGCTAATAGGCACTGCTTTCTACTGACTAATTGAAAGAAGAAACAACTCTACCCAACTGGAATGAGATTTAGGAGATATGATTTACTATGCCAAATCCATCTCTCTAAAATTGCCATCGCAAATGGTCTTTTGACTATGTTACATAGAACTATAATTAACAAATTAATTTATCACAAAGACATACCAGACATCGCAACCAGAAGTAATTGCAGGAGAAAACAAGGAATCCAGAACAACTCACCAAGAACCAGAAATCCCATCAACCAAGCCATTAATTCTATCACCAGTGATGCACCCAGCACGCAGTACCTCCTCAGCAACCACCAAATCGATAGCCTCCAAAGCAGCCAACGCATTGCTCTGCACCTGAATTGGACCCCTATATTGCCCCTCACCCCTTATAGCACTCATATCCTTCTCAAACACCACCACGTCAAACCCCTTCCTCTTGGCAGCCAACGCCAAAACCAGCCCTCCAATTCCACCCCCAGCCACCAAAATCCTCAATCCCTTCTTTCCCACATCAACTTCATTCCCACTTTGAGTTGACTCCGAAACGCTGACCGTCTCTTCAACTGCAGCTTTCACTTGTACCCGCTGCTTCATCTGGTTAATCCCTCTGGTTTTAAAACTATGGTTGCAATGTAAGAAAGGTGAACATTCTAATGGGATATGTTTACAATGATGAATGGGAAAATAGGTTCTTGAGGAAAGCAGTAATGATGGATAGTGGAATTGAGTGGCAGCCATTGCATATAGACAAAATCAAAGCTTTCCTCTGGTTTTCTGTATATAAAGAACAGGGCTTCCTGCTGTTTAAAGAAACTCTTCTGGCTCCAGTTGATTCTGAGTAAATGAAGATATTTATAGTAAATTGAGGAATTTGAAGTAGAGAATGAGCGTAGAGCACTCATGGAAATTCCAATACCATGTGGCAATTGCAGGACGTATCAAGGGGAAAAGAATATCTTTTACAGATATTGACATTAATGGTATGTGGTGGTGGTGGTTTGTTCTCCTTAAAATGTTTCGCTTCGCTATCTGAGGTTGACGCTTGGACTTAAGAGGTGGATTATTTGTTGGGCTGTCATTTGCGCTGGTAGCTAGTCTTGCCACGCCAGTAGCCAAACTTGGGTTTGCATTTTGCAATGATTTGTTAGTTAATAATATCTCGGCGTGAAGAAGAACGCCTGCCGGCCTAGCAGCTTACTATAAGTCTTTTTCACCGTGCCAAGGTTCGATCCCCTCCCCTTGAACCCCTTGCCCTAATCAGA